GATAACCATTGATAATTTCCTACCATTTTGTCTGTAATTTGCTAAGTCCCCCCTATTATTATGTTACCCTTCTTTTATTCTTTAAAAAAAAAAAAAAGGTAGGAATGTAGCTCAGTGTGAAGTATCTGTATCCCTAGTACCACAAAAGAAAATAAACAAAAATACCCTACAGCATAGCCCAGTACAGGGATGATTTGATTGTATCTATTATAGTGATTTTTGTCTTCTAAACAGTTGTGATTCACTCAGTGAATAAATAAGCCTATACTACAAACTTTGCCGTATGTATCAACTAATCGCCCTAACAGTTCTTAACATCTCCCAACTCAAGTGCAGAGTGAAGAGCTCTCTCTTAGAAGGCACTCTTACAGCCAGAGTATCCATTTAAGCAGGCTTCTCTGTATAATTAATGTACAGAAGATAACCTAGCAGAGAAAATCTTTGGTGTTATTAGCTCTTTATGTTTCTAATCTATCTTCTTAGACAGCACTTATTAAATGAAATCTGCCTCTTTTATCATGTGCTCCACCCTCCAACTACCTCCTCTCTGTTTGGAATCTCACAAATTCCGAGTAGAATTGAAAGCATAAATTATTTTGGCCTAGAAAGGACTTTGCTAAATTTTAAAAGGTACCTCTTTTATCACTTAAAAACCGGAGTTGCCTCATATCACAGTTATTGTCAAGTGGAATTTGTAAGTAGTAGGAAATGTTGATGGACCACCTAGAAGCTAGAGCATGCCTCAGTTTCCTTATCTGCACAATGAGAACAGTCATTTAACCTAGAGTGTGGAGAGAATGTCATATAAAACACAAAACACAGCTCCTAAATTGCTCTAATAACAATTATTATTTATGAAATTCTGTGATCACTATATGAATTTTTTTAGTCAGAAAATTCTCTTGGTTTCCTAAAAAATGAAGTGTTAACACAAGTTTCTATATACATAAAGAGAAATAGTTGCATTAAACCAGGTGAAAATTAATTTCCTCTCTACTCTGAGCACCAAATATCGATAGCAGCTCTATTGAGGCATAATTCTCATATCATTCTCTTTGCCCTCTTAATGTATACAATGTTCTTTAGTATACTAACAGTTGTCATCAAAATTCATTTTAGAACTTTTTATCACCTCCAAGAGAAACCCTACATTTACTAGCAATCACTCTACTTCACCCCAAATCTCCCCACCACCACTGTAGGAAAACACTAATGTACTTACAAATTTGCCTGTTCTGGATATTTCTTATAAGTGGAATCATGATAGGTGTGTATGTTTCACTATCCTTTTCACTTAGTTTACTATTTTCAAGATTCTTCATCAATGTAGTATGTACCAGTATTTTCTTTTTATTGTTAAAAATATTTTTATACGATTTGTATAACTTTTTTGTTCATTCACTAGTTGACAAATACTTGAATTACTTCCTCTTTTGAGCTATTATGGAGAGTATTTTGCAATTGTTTATTTTAAATATTCTCATCCGTAATGTTTGAAGAGATTTGGATTAATTGCTTTGATCAACCATAGGGCAATCAGGGTTTTAATAACAGTAAGTCCTATTATTTAAAAAATGAGATTTTGGTGTGATAAAACAATCTAAACTACTTTCTCTGTATTCTCTCATTACTAATACAAAAAAGTTTACTAATTTTTAATTCATTTGGCAAAAACATTTCTGTGGAGTCTAAGAGGTCAAAACTATTTTTAGAACAATACAAAGACATGTAACTGGCATTCCCCCTAGATCGATATGCATGCCAGGAGCATCAAGTTCTGATGCAGGGCACTTAACGTGAATTGAGGCAGCAGCACCAAATCAGATCTGATTAGGGTTTTCATATTCTCCTTTGTTACACGCTTTGACAAAAAAGCAACTAACTTGTTCATTTTGAGAATGTTGTTGATGAAGGCAGCAAGACTTACTAACTACATTAAATTTAGACCTGTGATAATGTACCGTGAGGCACCTGTGAGGGAGAGTAGACAGCAGGAAAAAGCGAGATTGGGCAGCAGGGGAAGGTAAAGTGCAGCACACGCACAACAAA